AGAGGTGTAGAGAAGATATTTATTTTTAATTAAGTTTTGGAGACTCAGGTCAAAAGGCCTATATAAGGCAACAAGGGTTCCCATTTATTTTTGACAGTAGAGGCATTGTTTTCTATTTGATAAATGTGTATCGTAGTTTTAATATGTATCGTACTTTTAAGAATTTTGATATCGATCTTTTCATCAGTGACACTCGAAGCTCTTCCCTCAACAGTGATCCGCCAAACGAACTTGATGATCTAGTTGCACTTCATGATTCTGAGCTATCTGGAATCTTTAACAGACATGTTCCCATTAAGAAGCGTACCGTTACCATTCGCCCAGCGGCACCTTGGTACTCAGAAGAATTAAAGTCTGAAAAGAGGGAAAAAAGACGGCTTGAGCGACGGTGGCGTGCTTCCCGTTCTATGCGTGATCGTGAAGCTTACACGCGTCAATGTAAAGTTCTTAAGGACTTGCTATCTTCATCAAGAAGTAACTATTATTCAAATCTAGTTGCTGAGAATCAGTCTAACATGAGATCGCTTTTCGTAGTTTTTAGTAAACTACTTCATCGACGTCATGAGGCGAACTACCCAAAGCATGATTCCTCGTCTTCTTTGGCTAATGATTTTGTTCTATTCTTTGGTGACAAGATCAGAAGAATCCGTCGTGACCTTGATCAAGTCCCACCTTTAGATACTGCTGTAGATAACGGTACTACAGGCTGTCAACTGAACATGTTTTCGACTGTTCCACCGGATGAACCCTTGAGTATCATCGGCTCAACTACCCCTAAGTCCTGTGAGTTAGATCCTGTTCCTGGTCATGTACTTAAATATCTGTTTCCCTCTATCCTCCCAGTAATACACAAGATTGTCAACCTTTCCTTGGAAACTGGTCGGATGCCTGGAATACTTAAACAAGCTATACTTAAGCCATTGCTCAAAAAGCCCTCTCTGGACTCGAACGACTTCAAGAACTATAGGCCTATTTCTAATCTTCGTTTCATATCCAAAACTATTGAAAAGTGTGTTGCTAAACAGCTGATTCAATACTTAGATATTAATGACCTTGGTGAAACATATTAATCGGCCTATAAGAGAAACCATAGTACAGAGACGGCTCTTATTAGAGTCCACAATGACATAGCCATGGCAATAGATCAACATAATTCAGTTATTCTAATGCTTCTCGATCTTTCGGCTGCATTTGATACTGTTGATCATGGTATCCTCCTTTCGCGACAGTCCAATCGCTTTGGAATTACTGGAACTGTATTGGAATGGTTTCGATCATATCTTTCTGATCGTACACAGTTTGTGCAGGTTAATGGTGCGTGCTCTGCTTCTCATGTTCTTGAGTTTGGTGTACCGCAGGGATCCGTTCTTGGCCCCTTTTTATATTCAATGTCCACATCCCCTCTTGGCGAGATTTCTCGACGCCATCAAATCATCGAGCCATCGAGCTCCAATCTATATACAGGAACTCCTTCAATTGTATACACCCAGCCGCAATCTTAGATCCTCTAACAGAAATTTATTAGTTAAACCCTATTTTAATCTCCATTCGTATGGTAAACGAGCTTTTTCTGTTGCTGCTCCGAAACTTTGGAATAACTTACCTGAGGATATTAAATCTGCAAACTCAATTGATGATTTTAAACGCAAACTTAAAACATTTCTTTTTATGCGACCGTATGAATCGTGACGTTTTTATTTGTTATCTGAGTTTTATCTATTGTGTACATTTATCTATTTTGTAGTTAGCGTCTAGTTTTAATGTCAATTTCTTGCGATTATTTTTACTTTTTACTTCTATCTAATTTTTTGTAAGTAGCGCCTTTGAATGTTGTAGAAAAGGCGCTATATAAATGGATTATTATTATTGTTATTATTATTTCAAATAAAGCAAAAAGTTTTTTAAATTGGCGGGATGTTCTTTTAAGCGACAAAGCCAGATATAGTGCTTGGCAATTAAGCAACAAAAATTGATTTGGAGTTTGTGTTTAGATCTTTCTGGCCTCAGACCCAAAGCCGTATTTATGTGTAAGTAATTATGTTCACCGAAAGGTGAGTTGGCAAGACTGCATCCACTATCCCAAAAATGTTTTGTTTTTTCGCATCTCCAAAATAAGTGTATCAAGTTTTCCGTTTCCTTATTACGAAAAGAACACTTATCATCGTCTCCAAGTCCGACTTTTTTTAAGAAACAGTTAGTTGGGAACCGGCGATGTAACAATTTGAAGTTGAAAGTGATAAGTTTACTGCTCTTTGTGTATTAAAAGGATGTTTGATAAGCGACTTTCCAATTAACAATTTTCTTTGCGGAAGATTCATGTCTTTGCGCCACTCTTCTTGACAGGAAATTGGCCACTCACAGTTTTTTGACACAATTTCTTGGTAGATAAATTTAGATGGCTTTTGACTCATAAGAAATTTTGAAAAGCAATTTTCATACTTAGATTGGGGTTTGGTGTTTTGTCTTCGTAGATGATTGACTGCTGAGATTAATCCAAAGAAGGTTAGAGGTCAAACTTGCAAGTTATATTTAATCTGAAAAGCAGCAAGGGAAAAGAAATTGGAGGATTCATCCATCAAATGTTTAACTTGCGTAATACCCTTAACAAGCCAGTCGTTATAAAAAACAGGCTTATTCTGAATTCTTATCAGAGAGTTTTGCCACAAAGGTGACCACAAAAGATGTTGTTCAGATACCATTGTTTCCCAGAAAAAAACTTCTGACCAAATTACAAGTATTTCTTTCACAAAAGGGTCTGATATTTTTAAGTTGTTAACATCTTTTTTGTTGAGATTTCCTTTTAGTATCGCTTCACCTCCATTTCTTTCAAGTTCGGAATCAAAGAGTCGCTTCCATTTACTGCGACTTTCAGGGTCCAGATATTTCTGGATCCACTTGGCTTTAAGGGATTTGTTAAAAGAAGCAATGTCGATCGATTTTTAGTCCTCCTTCGGAATAGTTATTAATCATTATCTTTCGTTTGATTTTGTCTCCTTTATCATTCCATAGAAACTTATAGAAAATTGTGTTGATTTCTTTGACGCTTCGCGGTTAGTTTGCAAAGGTGAGAATATGAAGACTAAATGAGATGCAACCAGGCTCTTTAAAACTGCTATTTTCCCTAATAATGTAAGTCTGCAGCAAATTTCCAGCATTCAAGGATCGATCTATTTTTTTCATTTTTTTTTTTTGTAATTTAAGGATATTATTATATTGGGGTCCGTTGAGAGCCAAACCCCAAGCGCTTTGACCTTTTTCTTTGGCCATTTAAAGTCTTTTTCTGGAACAAGTTTAAGGTCACAATCTTTTTTAGACCCTATCCACAGAGCTTCCGTCTTTTTGATATTGAGTCTGAGGCCAGATATGTTACCAAAAGTTTCTATTAAAATTACAGATTCTAAAAAGAATTATTCGGAGCCGTCCAGGATTAGTGTTGTGTCATCGGCATATTGACTTAACTTGAAATCAATGCTGTTTATTTCTATGCCTTTAATCCTCTGTTTTTTCCGAATGGCGTCAGCAAGTATTTCTGCAGATAGAAGAAATAGATATGGCGACAAAGGACAGCCTTGCGTAACTCCTCGACTGAGTTTAAAAAAGTTACTTGCCCATCTATTAATTAGGATACAGCTTTCAATATTACAGTAAAAAAGTTCAATCCAATTTTACAGTGAGGGCACGAAACGAAGTGCTGGAGAGTTTTCCTGATAAAAGGCCACTCTAGTGTTAAAAGCTTTCTCAAAATCGATAAAAAGAAGAAGACCCGGAATGTTTCTTCCTTCTGTGTATTTGATGACACTGTCCAACAAATGAATATTCTCACTGATGCACCTGCCTTTAAGAAAGCCTGTTTGATCATCTTAAATTAGCTTTGGAAGAAAAGTTTTGATACGACTTGCAATGGCTTTTGATGCAATCTTTTAATCACAATTTAACAGCGTTAATGGTCGCCAATTTCTAATGAGAATGAGCTCGGTATCTTTCTTTGGAATAAGCTTGACAATGCCGCGTCTTTGTCATAATTATTGAAAGTTGTCCTGCTAATATCTCTGCATTAATAATGTTACAGAAAGTGCATTGATTAATTAGAAAGAAATCAAGTCTACAGTGGCTTTCAGGCTTCTTCTGTCCCCATGTAAATCTGGAAGAGTCAGGATTTAAAACTCTCCAGGCGTCGATCAGATCTAAGCTTTCAGAGGCGCTATTGATAACTTCCAATGATTTTTTATGAGTTCTTGCAAGGCCACCCTTTTTATCTTTTTCGACATCTAAAACTAAATTGAAATCGCCACCTATTATGATCTCGTCGCACTTGAAATCAGCCAGATGACTAAAAACCGAGGTGAAGAAATTTGAATCATCGTTGTTTGGAGCGCAAATGTTTGTCAGCGTTAATTGGTTCTTATTTAAAGTCAGATCACATATTATAAACCGTCCCTCGGGATCGGAATATGTTTTAGAAATTTGAAAGGTGAAGTTATTATTAAAAAGTATGACAACACCTGCCTTTTTACTGGTGCAGCAGCTGAACAAAGCTTGATAGCCCCATTCGGTCCGCCAATCATTCTTATTGTTATCCGTAAAGTGCATTTCTTGAATAAAATGTACTGAATATTTTTTTGCTCGAAGCCAGTTAAAGATTTCTCGCCGCTTGACCTGGTCTCCCAAACCTCTAACATTAATTGATCCTATTTTAAGATCCATTTTTAGACGTTTGTGTCAGATAGCATCGACTGTCTTTACCCAAGGAGTATTCTCGCAATAAAAAACAAATATGAGAAATAAAAAAAGATAAACAAGAGGTTAAATAAAATAACAGTGGGGTTACGTAAAACACAGCAACCTAAACATTGGCAGGCAAAATGTAAACAGAGACACGCACATTTAAATCAATATTTATTTATGAAAGGTTAAATTGACTGGGGACGAAAGACGCCTTTTCTTAGGCTCTCTCCTAAGTTTAAAAGACAAGAAAAAACTGAAAAGCTAATAGAGAAAGCAACAATTTCAGTCGGTAGGTCTCGGAACATTTGAAACTTTGATCCTTTCAAGCTGTGTTCCAGTGAAAAAATGTTTTGCACATCTTTATACCTCAGGAAACGTGCAAGCATTAGACGAGGATTCCCATCTTTGGTTTTTCCTGTGCGGTGGACACGTTGAAATTCTACATTCTGAGCATCTACATATCCCAGTTCGCGTTCTAAAAAGCCTCTTAAAATCTCCTCGGTGTCTTCAGGTTGGTCTGGAGGTCCTTCTTCGATGTTAATAAACTTGATCTTTTCGCGTCGAGAATAGGCCTCAAGATATAAGCTTTTTGACTCGGTCTCCTTAACTGCTTCTTCATGTTTTCGCACCTTCCTTGTGAGCTCGGCAATTTCTACTTGTGCCTTTGCTGACTCTTGAGACTTCTCCTGTAATTGTTTTTAGCAAAGTTGGCGCCATCTTTCAACTCGCTTATGTCCTTCTTGGCTTCTTCTTTGAAAGCTTCCAACGCTGTCGTTCGTGTTTCTAGCCTTGCCAGTTTGGATTCACTTATCTTCAAAGACAGTTCTATCGTGTCTAGCTTTTCTAGCTTTTCCAAAATCTTTTGTAGTTTCGCCGCAACCTCCTACGACATATTAAGAGCTGTCATTACTTCATCTTCTTGTTGTTCGGGTCCTACAGTGAGCGGTGAATCGTACTTCATAGGTTTTTTCGCCTCAGGCGATGTGGTTGAGTCGTCCGAGGAGTCCGACGATCTAAACGTTTTTTTGTTGAGTAGATTATTGAAAATCTCGGCCATAAGTCACCATGCAAAGTGTAAAGTTGGCGGACAGTCACATCGAACGTCTTTACTCCGCCATTACTCGACCTAGTCTCTCGACATGCTAGCCCCAGTCTTCTCCCAGTATTGTCCCATTTTGCTTTTTGTCGATTTTCTTTAGCACGGCGGGCATCACAAAGTCATTAACAACATAATCCTCTGCAAACTTGAACAGGATCGGGGTTAGGGAAATGGGGCGAAGGTGCTTGTTGACGTTTTGGATAGGTCTTTGTTTGGAAACAGGGACGATATCTGCCTCTTTCCAAGATACGGGCAGCCGGCCTTCGTGAAAGGAGGTATTCAAGAAATCCATGATGGGTGGGCCCAAAAGTTCCTCGTTCTCCTCTAATGTGGTCAATTCTATAATTTGTTGTCCAAAGCAAAGCGCGTACTTCGATCCTCCTGGATCGAGCGCAATTCGTATTGCAAAATTGTGAAAAAATGCAGAATTATAAGATTAAATAGAGCAAAAAAGAACAAATGTCCGCCTTCTGTATGATAAAAAACAGCGCCTCATAGTACTGTTTACCTCAGACGTGAGTATAAAAAGTATCTTTAAAAGGCTGATTTACACGCCACCAGATTTGTCAAGATTTACTTGTAAAGTAAACTTGTCGAACACAAAAAATCCGGCCTGATTTTTTAGTTTGGCCTCCCTTTTAAACAGAGGAATGCAACGTGTAAATTGGCTGCCACCGAGGACTATCGTGTGTGGCATAAAAATATATTTCTGGGCTGTCCAATTATCCATAGTCTCTCCAACAGAGTGGTTGAAGAGACTATGAAGTAACCTTATAAAAGTACAGGTGGTGTGGGAAGAATTTGTTTTCCAGATCTAATTAATCGATCTACTGTGATCGAAGATGATTGCTGTTTTTGGGTGTGACATATAAGACTATTAACTCGATGGAAATTTTGTTTCACTCTTCAACTGTCAAATTATTTTTCTCTAAAATCACTTAGCCTTACCCTTAAAAGCCACATGAATGTGCCCTTAAGTTAACTGATTTGTGGATTACAAGTTTATTGTTTGATTTAAATTGTAAATTTATTAACGGGAGCTTCGCTTTTAGCCGTGGCTAAATCTATATACAGTGAAACCTCTATTAAGCGGACCCCCAATTAAGCGGACACCCTCTATTAGGCGGACGCTAAGCCGGGTCCAGAAATTAACGTCTTATATTTCCCTTTATAACAAACCCCTATTCAGCGGAAACCTCTATTAAGCTGTCGCGGACACTAAAATAAGGTGTATTTGGCTAATTTCTATTGTTAAAAACCGCTATTAAGCGGACACCGGACTGAATTGACAATAATAGTATTGGATTACGTCCTTGAAATACGTACTGAAGTCAGTTAATGTTTTCGCATTTACAAACAAATTAAAGTTGGTAATGAAAGGTAATGAACATGAACTCTGGATAGCTTCTTTAACAACATGCAACTCTATCACAGTACAGAGTATGCGTTGAATCTTGATCGTTAACAAACATTGCGCAAGTTTTACAACCTCTATTAAGAGGACACCCTCTATTAAGCGAACACTTGAGAGGGTCCCGAAGGTGTCCGCTTAATACAGGTTTCACTGTATTAATCACAGGGCTGAAATCCGACGCGATACTTTCCGTTGTTGACAGTTTCACAACCTTACACGCGATAACGCGTTATGAATTTTGAAGTAAGCTAGGGCAAATTATAGCAAAATTCGCTTGCATTCTGCTTTCCTACTACGCCAAAAGTGACAAAATATCAAAAATGCAACTTTATAATTCAAATCCAACAATTTACTATCAAGATCGATAAAATTAACATCAATTTGCTTTATGAATGTGTCAAGATGGTAGAATTTAATTTCAATTCCCACGTGTTTCATGTCATGTATCAAGAGACACGTTTTCTAAATCAAGATGCATGTTTTTTAAATTAAGAAGGGAGACGACAATTTTTGATCATTTTTGTTTCCGAGAGAGACTGAAACCGAGAACACGGGTTGGAATTCAAGGTTTAAAAGTGTTGACGGGCCTGCACGACTCCTGCAGTTCGCAAATAGATTGGTCTTAAAACCTTCATAGTTTAGCTCTTACTTGAGTGTCTTTCAGGGATTTTCCTTTGCGATATGTAATGAGGGGAGGTTCCTTAAAGATGTTTCTGAGATGTGGTTGGTTCTGTATAAGGTGCCATTTCCCCATGAGTATGTTCTTGAGGTTGGGCAACGCAGGGTAGTATTGCGTTACAAAGGGTAGTATTTTCTTACTAACATTTTTGTTTCTCTGTTCTAGTGCTTTCTTTCTGTCTGCGAAAATGACCTCTGAGAGATGTTTTTCTACAGTTGTAGCTGGGTAATCTCTATTCTTGAGGCGTGTTGAAAAATTCCTCATGTTCTGTTCAAAAGTGATTTCAGAGGAATTGTTCTTAGAAGCCTTAAAGCTGGGTTTGAAGATAATCTTTCTCGTTAAATTGGAACGAGTTTTCTAGTAGTATTAGACTAAGCATTTCGCTTAAAAACTGGTAGGGACTGGAGGGTTTCCTTGGTGAAATTCTTCGTATGCAAGGCATACAGTGGTAATACCCTCTCGTTGTTTTTTTTT